TTACAAAGAGATATTGAAATACACACACACAGGATAATGATGCATGAAACACACAAAAGTACCTACACACTCACTGGTAGACCCACTCCTCACTTGCTGAGCTCTCAGTGCTCCAGTAATGAGAAATGGAGAGGGACAGGGTCAAGCTTCAGTGAGAGGGTGGCATAAAAGAAATGGTGCAGGTGGGGTTGAACCGTTTGCATCTTGTGAAACCTTTTGTCATACCTGTGCTTGATCTGGCATCCTAAAACAACCTATAATGCATGGATAAGTATGTGTATTTTATATTTTGTAGATTGAGTGTTTTTGTGGAGCTGCAAATTGAGTTTGTTTGTTTTCATGTTAACTTCTTTTTGATTTCTTCTTTACAGGTGCTTTCTGCTTCTTATGGTTGGCCACTACAGTAAATGGTCTAACATCACATTGTCTGTGTTAAAGTAATTTCTTCAAGTGAATATATGGTGCATTTTTAATATTATCTCAGTTTTAAAATCAGTGGTCATTTGGTGCTAATTTAAAGATATCCCTCCAGGTTGCTGAAAGTTGGTTTTAAAATAGTTAGTATCAGCCTGTGGTTTGCTTATCTAAATGCAGTTGTGGAACTGCTGTTGCCATTAAAGAGATATGATCAGGCCCTGCCACAGCAGGTTGAGTGGTCCCAGACATCCAGTTTAAGCCTGACCTTATGTGTCTCTCCAGGCCAGGGCAGGGCTGGCACCCTAGCCACTATGAAGGAATCATTCTGCAGTGCAAGGATACAGCCGGGGTGAGGCGTGTGCCTGTCCCACAGCAGCCTTAGGCCTCTTTATACTGTGCCTCTGCCATCCTGCTGCTTCTAATCACGGCCGCTCATCTCTGCTGATACTGGATAGACAGGAAAATAAAAGATTGGTTTTGGCTGTAAATGTTTATATTCACAATTGAACTATTTGATACAACATAAACATTTGAATGAAAACTGAATAAAATTACAAGTTAATTCTGTTCCCCTGTCTCTCCGGTGGCTCTGATAGGCTAGGTAATCAGACCGATGAATCTGGTGGCAGCTGTTCTTCTGCGTGTGTTTGAGCAGACTACGACATGGGCCTTCATTCTCATGTTGATAAAATCTTGTTCTGGTGATGGTCTTATATTGATGTCTAATGAATGAACATGGTAGTTTACAAAGTAAACGCTTTAATGACAACAATTCATTGAAACCGACTTTTATCTAGTGTACAGGTCAGAGGTTTTAAGTACCTCTGAATTGTTTCAAACGTTTTCCATTTCTAACATTTCTCATCCCAGAGTTAATCAGTTGTTTTAGTGTTCTCATTGCTGGATCGTATAAGACCATTCCACAGTATGTTAGCCGGTTCAAGCAGTTTTGGTTTTAATCAGTTTAACCTCTTCCAGAAATTATCTTAAAGTTTCATGCTGTTTTTTCTTCCCTGTGTGTCTTTTTTCCTACCTTTCTCTGTCCCAACACATGCAACTGTGTCCTCTGCCCCCCTCCCTGTGATTTCTTGTCTTCTCTGTCCCATTTGGCATCTATTTCCTCTCTTTCTGGTTTCCCTCTCCTCACCTCCAGTATGGAGGAGGGTGTTCAGAGCTCGGCCAGCTGTGGAGGAGTGGTACTCTCTTGCACTGACAAGCTGAACAGACGCACTGTGTTGGTTCGACCCGTCAGCAAGCAAGACTCTTTCAGCCACTTCTCTGGCTTTTTCCCTCCTGTAAGAATTCAGCTCTTCTTCTTTTTAATTGACTCTGCTTAACCTCCATTAACAGTGGCCTTAAAGAAAAGTCAGAATCCTCAGAGATGTGTCAGCAGCCAGTCATTTAGTTTGGTTTTAAACAAGTTTATTGTTGCTTTGAAATGTTTCACCCGTATAGAGCTGTAGCCACAATAACAGTCACAAATGACAACTAATAGCTTCATAAAAAAATACCTATATACAGGGAGTTACAGTACATAACACATCTGGTTTCCGTGCAATGCACTTTAAACTTGAGGATTTGTTTTTTTGTTTTCACTTTCACCTATTATAGAATGTCTCCCAAATACATTATTTTACTCTTTTAACAGTTTCAAAGTTCTTTTAACAACCATTAAGTCCACTGTCACTGGATGTTTTTGCAGACTTGACTCTTAAACAGATGGGCTTTTCTTTTATGCAACAGTTGGGTTATATCTTGTTTTACTTAACTGGTCTTTCAGTGAATTTTTATTAATTTATTTTTTTTATTCTGTATTTGCTTCTAAAATCACTCATTAGGTTGGAGATCAGGCTTCCCTGATAAATCAGAAATAAATCAGCCTCCGTCTACAGCTGCAGTTATTAATTGGTTTTCTAATCATTTATGCATGTCATAAAAGGGGCTGATGATCCAACCTAAATTACTACACAATGATTGAAAAGCGATAACATTTGCTCATTCACCCTTTTAAGCTACAGTAGTAGCTTCAGCTTGGCTTTTGTAGAATTGTGCATGGGAACACAGAAGGCTGTTTTTTTGGCTCAGGTTCAGTCCTTTGCTGACATGCCAGGGGCATGTGTAAACCTGGTTTACCAAACTCCAGATTACAGGAGTAGAGCATTTTTAAGGGTTAAAAACTACGTTTTCCAAAATGATGTGTATAATATTTAATCTATATCTGTAAATCTAACTCATCTTCTTGATAAAGATTTTAAATTATTTAATATGAGAATGTTGACCCAAAAAGATTAGCTTTAGCCAGGTGTAACCCTAACCCAAGAAAACAGCCCAAAATAACACTGAATAGTTTAAGTTTTGTCTGGGATTGCTCTGGGTGGGGACACCCATCATCACTATGATTTATCCTGGACAGACGGCCGCCAAGGTCCTGGAGGGCTCTCACCAGCAGCACGGCTTCCTCTCGATCACATACACTCAGGCTGTCGCCAAAAATGTCCGTCACAAGCTCACCACTCACTCTGAGCGGCCAGCACGCAGCAACGCTGCCGCTGCCAGCATCACCACTGATCCTTTGGCTGACAGCTCCCCTCAGTACCTGAGAGAAATCCTGCTGACTGCCCAGGCCTTTGATGTGGTGCTGTCCTGTCCCTTATTGGCCACCATAGCAGGGGTGTTCCAGGTAGATAAATTAACAGCAAATATTGCTTTATTATTAGTCTTGCATGAGAAAATGTTACTGAGAGCAGTAGGCCTCAAGTAATTCTGGACTCTTTTTTTTTCATTAAAACAAGTAAACTTATGATTAAGATCTTTCTAGGCTTATTATAAATACTTCTGGCTTATTGTCTTCTCAGACTACGGTACCAAGACGATACAGAGAGCGTGGGAAGTCCACTGGTCAACCAATGAGAAGTCACACCCTGACTTCTCGATGTTTGCCTCTCATCTACATCAACACCAGTGTGATCAGGGTCTTCTGCCCCGGAGCACAAGACAAACATACAGCGTCAGGTTAGAGAATGACACGTCTCTTTTGAACATACACTTGTGTGTGCACACAAGTCTTTGCAATAGGACAGTGTTATTGTCACAGACTGTGTTTCAGAGTCTGTGGTACCTGTATAAAAGTCCCTGTGATGGTCAGCCAGATGTCACACATGTAAATGTACAGGTTTTTTTTTTTAATTTGTGAAGATGTTTACAGTACGAGTCCCTCTGTGTTCAGTGTGTTTGATTGTGTGTGTGTGTATCCCAGTAGATCCCCATGTGAAACAAGAGGACACCCTTGTATTGAAGATGGGTTCCCTCAGCATGGCTCCTCAGGCTGATAACCCCCTGACCCGCACTGTGCTGAGAAAAGACATCTACCAGTAAGACAAGCTAAAGCTTCTCAGCTAAATTAATATTTGGGTTGCTGTGGGATAAGATGGATATTTATTGTTCTCCATATTAAAGCGATCTTGACTAGCTAGGAGTGTTTATCTCTCACGATTTGATACGTATCTCGATACATGGTCCACAATTAGATACAAAAATGATACAAATACAGTAGAATTCAGTGATTTCAGTTTGATTCAGCAGATATTCAATTTTAATGTATCTGTTATTTGAAAGACTACATACATTATAGCATCTGTTTAGGATATAAAATTGAAAAGACTTGGTGTTTCCTCAAAGCAGTTTTGTATCTCGGGCAGTAAAAGCCAAACAGATAATAATAATCACCTTTATTTGGCCAAGTATGTTACACACACAAGGAATTTATTTCCGGTACAGAACCGAGGCAGCCATCTGCGGTGCCAACTCACACCGATGGCTCTAACCATCGGGGGCAACTTGGGGGTTCAGTGTCTTGCCCAAGGACACTTTGACATGTGGACTGCAGGCACCGAGATTCGAACCCCCAAGCCTCCGGTTGGGAAACAACTGCTCTACCCACTGACCCACAGTCGCCCCAAACATGTCTACTCTTTTTAATAATAGTATACAGTGGACACTGGTGAACAGTAAACCTCCAGCTGAGTTTGACCTTATCATACAGGGCGGGAATGCATTTTACACTTAAATCCTGGTGACTTGTTAATGTGTGCCTCAGCTTCAGTCATTGTCATTTGTTCAAATCCCACATTTTCAACAACACCAGGTGCATGTCCTTGCAAATGAAACAGCTTATAGCTTCAGTTATTGACTTCAGCCTAAGCAGGTGGCATTATCAGCTGATGTGCTCTGAAAGTAGCTGCTAACCACACTAGCACTGTTACTTGACTCAAGCTGAACGGTACTGTTTCCATCGGTTCAACGCGGTCGCCTTCGTAAAGTTTCTACTGGCGAGGTTGGTGGTACTCCTGGTACTCGACACGAGCGCTGAATGTTCTGCACTCGAACACTAGCACTGTTTGCTCCTGCTCTGTACTGTGTGTGGCATTTTTCTTGGACCTGCGTTAAGAAGGAGGCATGTTTGAACGCTGACAGGGGATTGTGCACACACACACACACACACACACACACACACAGCGAGAAGTAACAGAAAACTTGCCAAAGATTGGTTTATGAGGTCCATATCAATTGGTAGACTGTTTTTTAAATTTGTATTGGTTTATCTTTACACCCCTATGATTAGCAATAAGTTAAATGCTGTATAGCTCTGTTACATTTAAAAAAAAATCTACTCAATTTTTTGCTTCAACTGTAAATTGAAATGCAGTAGTTGTACTGTATGACACTGACATACTGTGTACTGTATGACCTAGTAGTACCGTTTAGTATTCATGTAGAATGATTGTACTTTTCCGGTCCTCAATAACATTCCTCAAACAGCAGTGCAGTCTTTGTGTGAAGCTTTACTAATTTTCCTTCTATGATACATGTAGATAGCCTTTACTGTCATTGTACAGCATACAACAAAATTACATGACAACTCCCAATGCAGAATAGAATAGAGTAATAAAATAGAATAATGTGCCAAGGACCAATATCCCAAAAACTACCTTAAAACCCTAAAACTGTCACAGTAAATAGCATAGTAATAAGCTCTAAAAGTGCCATCAGTAGCAGTAAGTAAAAGTGCAATGCATCTAGAGCTATAATAAAATACCATATACAGAATCTCCATGTGAAACACATAACATTGTGCATTTACCTAAATAAGTCTTTCATTCTTGTTTTTTGTGCTCTGATTGATCTGAATCTTTGAATAAGTGATGTACCTGATGTGTTTGATGCCGGATAATGTTCTCTGCATGGCATTTACATCTAGTGAAGCAGAAAAGGTATCAAGGAGTGAGACACCAGCAGATTTCATAACCTGCTGTAGAGCTTGCCGCTCAGCTCTGGTGTAACTGTTATACCACATTGAAATATTTTAAGTGAGCACACTTTCAATACCGCAGTGATCAAATTGCAGCAGGAGCTTCTGGGGTAGGCTTGCCCGCCTCAGCTTCCTGAGAAGAGGTGGCAAACAAGGTGCTGTTGGACTCTCTTATTCACTATTATTGCATTTGTTTCCCATGTCAGATTTCCTGAAACCTTCAGGTCCAGAAATTTTAAGTGTAGTGTCTTTGAGGTGGAGGAATGTGATGGACAGTCATGTGTAAGACGACTTACACATGACTTACCACAAAACTTTCCAGTTGACCACACATTTCATTAAAGATGCCACTCAGGTTTGTCTGACCTCAAGTTATGGTAAATGGTCTTATACTTGTATAGCGCCTTTCTACGCTCTTACAGCACACTCAAAGCACTTTCACATTATTCGGCCATTCACCCATTCGCACTCCCAAGCACTCACGCATTCACACACCGGTGACATCACCGGGAGCAACTGGGGGTTCAGTGTCTTGCTCAAGGACACCTCGACATGTTGACTGGACAAGCCGAGAATCGAACCGCTAATCCTCCGGTTAGGAAACGACCCGCTCTACCTCCTGAGCCACAGCCGCCCCATGCTCCATAAAATCTGTTGTGAGACAAATGTCTTTGCTGTCTGTGTGTACATACTGTACATGGGTGCACATCTGTTCTGTCATGATGTGTGCTGTCTCTTGGGAGGTTTTTAGAGTACAGCAAATGTCACGTAGTGGTTAAGCTGCACCATGAGCAATGAGTGACACCTTGGGGATCTGCCGGGCCCTTCAGCTGAAACACAAGACTGTTGACACAAGCCATGTGGATCAAAGCTGCTATGCAGAGAAAATCTGGACTTATGAGGGAAACAGCTAAGTGCAAAACACATTTCTCTGCTATAGGCAGCTAAGAGAATCTGGATTATGTCATAACTGTCTGAAAACTGCAGCCCCATGCCGTGTATGTGAGAGAGGGAGAGAGAGTGGGAGCGGTTGTGTGAATAGACAGATATGGAGCTGGCAAACATATGTAATGAGGGAGATAAAAGTGGTGCTTAATGCTTTGTGCAGCTGCAAGTGAGCTGACACAAGACGTGAAAATGGAAAAAAGAAGTTGGACAACAAAAATAGGCACTTTAGGCTTCATTGCTGCCTTCATTTGGTGGGAGCGTCATAGCAGTGGAGGTCTAAGCCTACGGTCATGTCTGGCAATCTGCAGTCATCAAGGCAAGATTGAGAGAAATACCGCACTTTGTCCAACCTTGTCCATATTTGTTCCAGAGTACCAAAGTTGTCCTCCTCACAGGCTTTCATTTACTTATTTGATGTACTGTAGCAGGGATGGTATTGATCAGTAACCATAGCTACTGTTTTGCAGGAACATTAGGGGGGCTTTTTTTTTTTATCCCCACTAGTTTCACACAGTGTACTGTGCTGAAATGTTTGCTGTTTGTCCTGGTAGACACTAGTACAGCAAATGGGAGGCAACTAATCTGTTTCCATGGAAACTGTGCCTAGATTTATTTTGTTGGCATGTTGGCCATGTTGTTATCATGTCATATGATAAATGTTGGTCTTGTGGGCATGGAAAATAATCTGGAGATTTTCTCAGACTGTCACCAGAAAAAACTGTTAGACCAGCCATGCAATTTCCCCCAATATTGGCCAGTAATGTTCTGCCTCTGGTAGTTAGAGGACTGGTGGCTCTGTGGCTCTGGTGGCCACATCTGCTTATAAACATAGATCACATCGCTCGACACTCCACCCCAGTTTGAACACACACATGATACCTTGTATAGTAGCCCTCAGCATGCTACAGAGGCATACAATATACACAGTCAGGCAGATTTGTACTCACTAACACAGTAAATTGCTTGCGTTCACTCCCAAATGTGAATATACTGTACGTAAGCTCATACTGTGCATATGCACATACAGTATGCATTCTCTGTCACAAACACTAGCAGCAGGCATGGCCATGTGTACAAACACACCCACCCTACCCCCTTAACCTCTGCACACAGAAGCCAAAAGCCATCACTTCCCTCTTTGCAGTGAAACCTAGGAATTATATCAAACCACACTCTGTGTTCATTCTTCCACCACTAACCCTTCATTATCCTCCCAACCTTCCCTGTTGACATCTGCCCTTCAATTTAGAATGATCGCACTTCTGAGTCACATGATTGGGGACTAGTTGATATACAATGGCAAGGGTTTGTCATGTACTTTATCTGGGCTGAATTTGAGTGTGTGCTCCCCCAAGATGTGCACAGAAATTCATAGAGAATCTGTAATCATCTATGATCATCTGTGGCTAAAGGAAGAAATACATCTGACTCCATAGGCATTTGTTGCAATTCTGTTAGGAGGCCACTAATGTCAAAATTGAATGACTGACCTAAACAGCTATGTCTTGTCTACTGTACATGAAAATGATTGCCTCACAATGTTTAAATACTAGGATTTATGGTGATGCCTCCCTGGACGTGTAGAAAAGAGTGAAGGCTAAAATACTGGGAATGTGTAAACATCCTGACGGAGCATATCTTGATCATCCACTACTAACACTGTTTCTGAGCTTCTCGACTTCAGCGTTCAGCCTCACCTTGTACAGCATGGGATGAAGTATGCATTTCTTATTTAGAATAGATTCACCGACCGGCCACTTTATTAGGTACACCTGTACAATTGTATGTGATTTAGTGCAACAGTTCTGCCTTAACATCTGCGTTTATGAAGCTCAAAATGTTTCAGTTTATATTCAAAGGTGCTCCTAATATTCTGACCCTCTCATGTAAGTAGCTGGGGAGGACAAAAATATAGATACTGCTCTGAATATAACGTAGTCCACTACAACTTTAACTGTGACCTCAATAATAAACATATCATTGAATTTTTACATTTATGACACTTTCACAAAAAAACGAAAACATTTTGAATCTCGTAAACACAGATGTTAAGGTGGAAGCGTTGCACTAAATTGTATACAGTTGTACTGGTGTGACTATTAAAGTGGCTGGTGA